TAACCTACCTTAGGTCACGAACGGGTAAAGTGGACATTTATGGGATGTCTTTGAGGTAACCTGGGAATCATTCAGTTAAGTAGCGTGTTTTCTGTTGAATTCAATGAACATCTCAAAGATATTGAGACACTTTCATAGTCATTGTATCCATAAAGCGTTTGTAGAATTTAAATGCATCTCCGAAAAAATATTTTTACTGTGGTTGTAATAATGTAGAAATCCTTCGACTCTATCAATCATATCATGCCAGCTTCAACATGAGACCTGCTGAAAGTTCTGGAACACCGTTTCTTGCTCACACAGTACTTGTTATAGAGTGTTTTCGGGTTTCTTTATCCCTCAGTCTTGGTCAAACATTTTGACGTCGCACATTAATGTTCGCAATGTTTGTGCATATTAGATAGCTCTTATCGCAGTAAATGGTAGTTTGACATAACTGTTAACCCTAATGTGATTATTGAAATCGATCTAAACTCAAGAGTGTGGAATGCACTGTTTATCAAGTCAGAGATGGAGTGTTATAAGATTGTTTAGAAAAAGGCTCTGAAAACTTTTACATGCGGTGCGTTGTTCCAGTCTACGGTCGACGTCTTAAAATCACAGAAAATGTCACGAGTATTAGTTGACATCCTCTTTCTTGACATAGCCTAAGGTGGTGTAGGATAATAATAACGTTAGCAACCTATTAAAACAATGAGATCTATGACAGATAGCATACATCATGTTGATATCCCCATCTTATCTTTTGGGAATCAGCAGGTTCCACGTTGAATCTCACTGGTGGGAAGAACAGAGTTGATTTATTTCCTAGTATTGGTTAAATTGTTCGCATTTAAAGCAGATTAAATGGACTGGAAAAGTAGCAGTATTGAGTTAACACCAAAATCAGATCTCTTTGTGTTTGAACTGTATTTATATTGACAATGGTAATTGAAATAACTAGCAATTATATTAGAATAGAAATAACGCTGACACAATAGAATTCCAGGTAATAGCATTGTCGTGAAATATATCAAGGATTATACTCTACTAGTCTAATCTGCATTTTAATGAGATGAAAACAAACTGTCCTGAGTGTCATCATATCTCAATTATTCATAAACCAATGTAGTAACCGAACATGATTAATGTGTAGTGACTCACGTTTATCACGAGAACACGACTGGTTTAATAAAAACAATTATTATTATAACCAACTGTACCAGTGTTTATTTTAATGTGCTTTTGTTTGACTGTGCTAATGACAGCTTTTTTGTGCTTCCATTCTTTGCTTACACTTCGATTGTAACTTCGCGCGAATTCGGTTACCTTCTGTAACCAAGGTTGTATCCTGGCACGATCTCGGTATCCTTTCGATGCCACGAGATCGCCAGCAAATATACACCTCGACTTGGTCCATTAATTGCCTTCTGATATTCGGCTTCTCGGGGATTTTATGGAGTCATTTGGAACGAGCTTCTTACGCCTTCTGATCTATTTGGCACGTGTTTCTTGGTAGCGGTGTTCATAGTTTACCTCAACTCGACGCCACGCTACATTGGTGACCCGTATTTTGGAACACGCCTCAACTTCTGATCAAATCTTCCAAAGAAGCCAATTCGGTGAGTCTATGATTTATCTATCCACGTCTGTCGTATATTTTCATATTTTTTAATATATAATATACGCGACATGACGGATAACGATAAGAATAGTATTAATATAATAGACTCACACGTATGTGTACCGAATCCTTGTCACTTTTTATTCGCGTGATGATGAATTCCACGCTTTATTCGAGAAATTTTCCCCTATTAACTATTCTCCTCGCTGACCCGGCTGCTTGGTACGGAATGCATACGCATAAGCATATCCGTCTACCACCCAGCACCAAATGGTTAAGTAAACGGTTTCACTGCCAACTTAAAAGTGCTCTACGAGCACACGAAAACGGCAACTGGCACGAAACCTTACCGCTCGTTCTTTTAGGGATCAGAACGAGCTTAAAGGCAGATATCCAATGTTCCGCCCTGAACTTGTATACGGCACGACATTGCGTCTGCCCGGAGAATTCTTCACACCACGGAGCAGACCTAATTTCGGTAAATCAGACTACGTCCATCGACTGTCTGCATTTATGCGAACGCTGTCTCCGGTGTCAACTCGAATACAACATCGACAGGTCGCTCTCCCTCGAGAGTTATCTACCTGTTCACATGTTTTTGTACGAGTAGATTCGGTACGCAAACCTTGGCAACAACCTTACGAAGGCCCTTTTCACGTGATCGCTCGTCACGAAAAGACCTTCAAGGTTGATCGATATGGACGCGTCGAGATCGTCAGCATTGATCGTCTCAAACCAGCACACGTCGATGACAGTGCCCTATCTGACAACCTGAGATTCAATGCTAGACCTATCAAACCTAGCGGGATCCTTAAATCTTCTTCAGGTCCCACGCTAGATACATCTGAGACCTCATTCTCACGTCCCGGTCAACAGCACGCGTCATCTGCACCGTCTACGGACGAGACGACAGTCTCACGTCCAGATCAGCAGACCACGCCGCCTCTGACCTCGGATGAGATTGCAGGCTCACGAGACACGAACGAGACTACCGTCTCACGTTCCGGTCGCCGAGTACGGTTACCCGTACGCTTCCGCGACTAGCCGCACAGTTAACAACCGATACGGTGTAGGATTATTCCTATACTACACGCATGCTACACTCTTCTCTTTTTTGATTTTCTTTTTGTTTCCTGAGCCCACGCCTTCGACCATCTCCGTTTGGTTCCGTCGACTTCAGTCAACTTTGGCGAAAGCTGGCCTGATCACCCACGCTCTTGTCAACGTACTCAGTCGATATATTGGTTTCGAATGCTTGGCATACGCTTGGTCTCGAACTTGGTCGTTATGGTCGCTTCTGGTCTTTTGGCTCAACGTGGTTTCGTCCTACGTCTGCAGCGTTTCTGGTCCGGACCCTACGAACGCCCTCTTCAGATTCTGGATACAAACCACTCTGGTGTAGCATGCCAACTCAAGCAACAAATACAACACATCGCTCCTGGTACCGTTCTCCGAAAACGACCTTCGTTGGCAACTCGACGATCAACGATCGCTTTCCTGTTCGCCAATTCTTCCGTCCTACAATCGCTCGTCAGCCGATCAGTCCCACGATTCAAACCGCTATTTATCGAAAGTGTAAACCCTTTCTAGCGGGGGGCTCCTGTAGTGACTCACGTTTATCACGAGAACACGACTGGTTTAATAAAAACAATTATTATTATAACCAACTGTACCAGTGTTTGTTTTAATGTGCTTTTGTTTGACTGTGCTAATGACAGCTTTTTTGTGCTTCCATTCTTTACTTACACTTCGATTGTAACTTCGCGCGAATTCGGTTACCTTCTGTAACCAAGGTTGTATCCTGGCACGATCTCGGTATCCTTTCGATGCCACGAGATCGCCAGCAAATATACACCTCGACTTGGTCCATTAATTGCCTTCTGGTATTCGGCTTCTCGGGGATTTTATGGAGTCATTTGGAACGAGCTTCTTACGCCTTCTGATCTATTTGGCACGTGTTTCTTGGTAGCGGTGTTCATAGTTAATCTCAACTCGACGCCACGCTACAAATGAATATATAGATACACAGACAGACAACCAGACAAAAGGATATTGAGAATCACGTACAGGTCATTATGATTGGAAGTATTTGAATTATTGTACTAACTAGGAGTTCCTGAAATAGTGCAGTTTAAGTCAAGCAAAAATTAGATGCGTACAAATGGACTTATTGTATTTGGAATTCGCAATCAGTGGGCAAGTAGGCACAAAGGAATCATTAGTTAGTACAAATGGCACAGGGATTCAAACTAATCACATAAATGAGCATAGTTTAACCAATATCATTAAATCAATATATCTGGAAGCCACATGCTCGGTAGAATATCATATTCCAATTATCTTCATTTACCATGTTCTTATTAAGTACCATAGCTCTTCCAATAACAAGGCTGTTCACAGTTCTTGAGATAGGCTTAGTGTTATCACATGCTACATAGCTGACAGAGAATGGATTCCCTAAACAGATGTTTAGAGGCAAATATAGTGATACATTGATTGGAAGGTCAGAGTCAATGTGGAACAGTATGGCTTATACTACTAAACAATATCATTTGTTAGTTTGCAGCCACGGAAATGTCTTTTCCAATTGTTTCCACTCTTTAAAACTGTTTTTAAGTGAGGTCAGCGTTACTGTCCCCCAATCAGTTGATTGTATGAGCTTAATTGACTCGGACTGAGTATCTTTACATTTAACTTTAGCCATATGTATGGAGTATTCCTGTTCACTGTCTTTATGTTTATTGAAGGCGTTTCGCCGTCGAAACCCAAGAGATTAACTACCCCTTCACACACAAGAGACGCGTCAGAACATGTTATAACTTGCGGCCTGTGTGCCCTGTTAACGTATAACGTAATGATACCTCCAATTAGAGAACAGTGAATTATCGATCGAGCCAATGACGCGTAAAACACGTGCGAGCAGTCTAGAGTCTTGATTAACCCTGCTTTCCGCCTAGCCCAGCCAGTTAAGTCCCGAACACCAGTCTCAGCCTCTGCAATATGAATCATGTATTTCAAACATACTCTGTTTATACACCAATCAAGCAGACCACATCGTACCATAAAATAGCAAATAACATTTGTACAAGATTTGGCCAAATGTGGCTGTGAATGTGGGAGATGGTGATTAATAGACAGGGAATAGTTCAAGAATGGAAAATCGTATAATAACAGTTCATAGGTCAAAATAAAGCTTATGATAAGAGAGACATGAATATGAATAGTTTAGTTAATTAACAATTATACGATAAAAATATACGTATAGTATTAGACCAGAAATAGATTCCAACAATTACCATTCATTATTTTCATCGAGACATATCACTATCGTCATGACAATTGAAATGATCTTAACCTTTATAGAAATTAAAATTCCCACATACAGATATTCATTGAACTATATTGAAATTTGCATAGAATCAGTTGATTCTGTAGTATTTTGTCTAAGATGTGTATCCAATTGATTGACTAATTTATCCATCTAAAACAATAATTATAATACAAATAAATGATAGGGACTTTTTATGATGTAAAAAGCTAAAATTATAGATGGTGGAAAAGATTTGTATCTCGGGTAGATGATTTTAATAAAGTTTTGTTCTCTGAGCTGAATGGTTTGGTTGTGGAGCTAAAATCATATTGTTTTCATCATAAAAAAGTGTTAATACATTTCTAAGTAGTCTATAAACTAATTTACTGGACAATATACCCATCAGTAGTCATTTGGAGGGACTTGGTTTCATATGAATGTGATGGTATTTATAAATACAGTTAGAATTACAGTTACTTAGTGATAGCTAACGATGATTATAAAAGTACGTCATGTTCTAAGAGTTAGCAATAAATAAAAATGTGGAATATTTTATCTAAAATAATGATGATTGTTATATTTTTCAGTGTTTGAGGTTTGGCATTGTGATACAATCTTCCTATAAACGAAGCCAACCGGCTACTCAAGCGTAAAGACCGAGAGAGAAAGGAAATTTTTTGGCTGAAGAAATAGATATGTATATGTCCATATAGACTTACTCCTGTTAAGCCTCGTGGAGGAGCATAGACCGCCCACCAGCATTCACCATCCAATCTATAAACATTTGTTTCCAGTTGCTATTCCTCCTTCGCATATCTGCTTCCTATTCCCGACGCAGTGTGCTCTTTGGCCTTCCTCTTTTTCGTTTCCCTTTAGCATTGTAAGTTTACGCTTTCCTCGTGATGCAGTTTGATGATTTCCATAATGTGTGTCCTATACACTTCCAACGTCTTTTCTTGATTTCCTCCTCAGCTAGAAGTTGATTTGTTCTCTTCCACAGTAGGCTGTTCCTGATGTTATCCGGCCAACGAGCATTCAGTATCTTGTTTATACAATTGTTTATAAATACTTGTACCCTTTTAATGATGGTTGTGGTACTTCTTTAAGTTTCAGCTCTGTACAGTAGAACAGCCTTGAAGTTCGTACTAAAGATTCTCACTTTGATATTGGTTGAAAGTAATTTTCCGTTCCATATAGTCTTCAACTGTAAGAATGCTGTCCTTGCTGTATCAATCCTCGCCTTTACGTCTGCACTATATCCTCCACGTTCATCGGTGATACTACCCAGATATGTGAAACTTTCCAACTCCTCCAGAGTTTCTTTATCAAGTGTCATTGGGTTGTTATCCGTGCTGTATTTGAGGATCTTGATTTTCCCCTTTTGTATGTTGAGGCCTACTTCTGCTACATCGTTTATCTTGACTTGCATTTGTTGATGTGTATGGGATATAAGGTCCAGGTCATCGGCGAAGTCCAAGTCGTTTGGTTATATCCACATTGTCCATTGTAATCCGTGCTTTCCCTCAGATGTCGAGGTCTTCAAAATCCAGTCAACCACCAGAATAAAGAGGAAGGGAGAGAGTAGACAGCATTGTCTGACTCCAGTCCCTACTTGGAATGCATCTGTCAATTATCCTCTATGCACGACTGTTCATTGTAGTCCGTCGTATGAGTTCCAGATAATGTTGGCAATCTTCTCTGGTACACCAAAGTGTGGAAGAAGTTTCCATAATGTTCTGCTATCCACACTGTCAGATGCCTTCTCATAATCAAGGGGTTTGATGTATAGTGACGAGTTCCATTCAATTAACTGCTAAACAATGATCCGTAGTGTCACGATTTGGTCTGTGCGCGTCCAATCCTTACGTAATCCAGCCTGTTGATCTCGAAGTTGTGCGTCTACTGAGTGCTTTCATCCGGTTTAGCAACAGTGTTAGAAAAATTTTCTGGTACTGATAGTAGTGCGATGCCTCTGTAGTTCACGCACATGCCCAGATCTTCTCTCTTTGGTATCTTGATGAGGTATCCTTCTTTGGTTCCTTCTCGATTGTCCTCCATAGTAGTTTCTTCTTCGTGGAGTAGATGTGGAAGGGAGATTAAAACCTATTGTTGAGAACTATCTTGAATTCGTTGAGTTCCTCAGTATCTCGAATGAAGTCTGTATTAAATTTGCAATAATGTTTTCTTATTTGTCCATTCTTCTTTAGCTTCTGTTTCCTCTTGGCAAACACCAGGTGGTGATCTGAAGCTATGTCAGTCACTCTCCTGGTTCCTACGTCTTCTATTGGCCTTCTAGTTTTTTAGTTCAACATGGTGTGGTCTGATGAGATCCATGTACCTTTGTGCATGTGTTTGTGTGGAAATATTGTGCCATCTATAACCAATTTGTTGAATGCACATAGATTTGCAAATCTCTCGTCATTCCCGTTCCTTTCTTCTGGCCCATGTCGTCCTATGATATCTTCATAACCGTGGTTGTCTATTCCGACTCGGCCGTTTAGATCTCCCATCAGAATGGTCAGGTCCTTCCGTTCGCACTTCTCTATGATCGATTGCAGCCTCTCATAGAGCTGATTTTTATCGTCATCATTGCTATCATTGGTGGGTGCATAACATTGGATAACATTCATTGTAATTCTCTCCTTCTTTGTTTTGAAGGATGCTTTGATGATCCTGTTGAATAGACTTTGAACATACCAGGGCTTGTAATAGACACAACATACGTATGCAAAATTAATTTCATAAAAATAACGGAACAGAGAATAATCAAGACCATTTGAATGCAAATAGTAGTATAAGTAGTGAATATAAGTAGTATGATGTGTGTATTCCATGAATACTTAAATATTTATATTGAACAGTATTTTGTATACAAATACATCAGACGCAAGTTATTGAAACAGTATTAATGTCAACGTATCATGAATAAAGCATTTATATGAGACATTTGCAAAACAATATTTTAGTATGTTGTTTTAGATATTTTAATGCCAGTTATGCCTTCTCCCAATTAAGCACGTCGGGCTCACCAATTTAGAGTTTTTGAACGCTGCCACCGAGTGTGGTGGTGTATATCAGACGAATATAGATGTTATTTGACCTAAATTAGGATATGTAGTAGTTATGTTGAACAGGGTAACCGGTTATTTATATTGATTATATTTAGGTGAGGGAAAGTAATAAATGAAATAGACATTGTCTCGTATACGAAAGTCATTATATGCACACATAATTTACGTTGAAGATCAATTATCTGTAAGTTATCTCGATAAAATATGCAATATGAGCAGTTCTGACTGTGAGGTTTATGCAGTATAGTTTTGATTGAAGTAGGGAATAATCATACATATGTAATCCCTAAAACGGATCAAACCTAAAGTGTCACTAAGATTGGAATCGGCAGTAGCCCTAGAAGAGCTACAGGTGGAGTTATATATATTTCTTAGAAAATTTAGGCACCAGTGATATATTTTACATGCCTTGAAACGAAAATCGTTTCCTAATTGAACACGTGCACTTATTATTTATCGATTTCTGATTAGTTTAATATATCGTTAGCTCACTTTTACAAAACTAAGTGACTTATTCTAGAAAACAAATTCCAAGTCTCCAATGGCAACTATCATTTATTATTACTTACATCATTTTTATTCACCCAATATGGTAATTCAAATTCACTGGTTAAATTAAGTTTTTTATATTTTGCAAACATTTGATTGGCCAATTTTTTGTTTGATTTGACAAGAAAATTTGCACAATTCAAAATCACTAAAGGATTTTTACTAAAATGTAAATAATTAAAATAGATAAATCACCATAGTTTACATAATAGAAAATTTCAATTTCAATAAATACTATCCTCATAAAAATATTCATGTTATACACAACTGGGTAAATATCATAGTGTAGGAACCGAGATAACCAATGTTGGAATCTCGAGCGAACTGCAAGAGTAAATGAAGTTTATCTTATGTCATATAAAACAAGCAGTTAATAGCTGAGAATATTCAATATGAAAATAAAACAAAAAAACTGTTGCCATCATAGAGTGAAAATGATAGTGTGAAATGTGAGTTAGAATAGCATACATAACCGAATAGCATTGTTTCTAATTAGGCCCTCATCAGTTCCGTAAATATTGCAAGTTCGTTTTACTGACAAGTACCAACTAACACAATACCTTTATTTAAGGTTCCCAACTGACTACCTCTAATTACCAAATATAAATGAGACAGATATACTCATTAGACTCACTTGCTTTGTTTATATGCATTCATAAAAGCTTCATAAGCTTTGGAATATTCATTTAATTTAATTAAACAATAACCCAAAAGACAATATAACATGCCAACATCATGAGTAGTTTTATGATTATTTTTGTCATTATGATTTATAGCAGAACGACGGATTGATCTTTGTTTAATGATATTAAACAGATTAATTGATGTAGTGATATGTTGAAATGCACTTAACCATTGTGATGTATGCATATAAATTATGCCCAGATTAATTGATATTCTCCAATCGAATGGTGTTAAGTAACTGGCACGTTTAAAACAAGTAATAGACTGTTAATTTTGAAAGTGGTTGTCAAAATAGAGGAAGAAAAGTTAAAAATGAGTTATTTCCGAAGTTAAAATGATGTAATGGGCAAAAATTAAGCGTAACCAGTCAGAGGTTTTAATTCACTGGAACACAATTAGAATCCGAAGAAGATATGATACAAGGAATTTATAGTATCCTAATACAAGAAACTAATAAATCTCGGATATTTATGGTATCAAGATGAGCATTAACAGAGTTTTAATTAAATTTGTTGTAATTCATAAACGGAAAATCTTATAATTCAACTCACTTGGTGTAGTTTACTTGTATCTTCCCACTAAGCAAAGATCTTTGCTTATAAAGCTTGTGACTTCAGGCAATATCGAGGCAGTCCACACAGGATGCACGCATGCCAACAAGAGACTGATCAATTGTAGTCCTAAATAACAATGGGAAGATACAAGTAAACAACACCAACTGAACATAACTTCACCTCATCGCACAAGCAGGTGGCTGTCAGGACTCAGTAGCTAAGTGGATAACACGATGGCGTTTGAAGCAAAGGGTACTGGGTTCGAGTACTAGAGTGAACACCAACTTTGAGATGCAGGTACATTTAGCTGATGAGTCCCAAATAGGACGAAATACGCGTCCTGGATTCCGCTGTTAGCCACTTTCCACCTTTGCTCGTAAATCATTTGTTTAATAAATAAATACATTAAATCACTCCAGAGAATTGCTTTCACTGTTCTACATTTTCCAATTATTCGTACTTCATCCACCCGTGAATCTCCAGAGAGTTAATTTACACATCTGTATATATATATATAAAGGTGTAAAAGTCTGACTTTGATCAATCTGTGATATTGTGCGAATATCTTCGATTGTCTTCGATGGGTCCCTTCCTCATACTCAGCACGATTAAGCTTTACCAGCCACGGCTTTCCACTATAGCCTCAAAAGTAGCATCTTGAAGCCAGTCACTTGTGAGCATATTATTATTATTAGTGAGGGGAGTCTGTGGGAATCGTGGAATTCTCATGGTATAAACTACAAACTAATTTTAGATAGATCACTATAGAAAACCCGGAAGCATTGGACGATCATTTCGTCCTAGCATATATATGTCACAAAACATTTTAATGACTTACAGCTATTAAGTTTCTTTTACCCATTAGTGCTACACCAATATTATTCCATAATATTGAACTTTCAGAAGATTGTTTTAATATTGATCGATATTTATTCAATGCCACATCATAATCTTTATGCAGTGTAATAACTAAACCGGCTAATTGATTTGCATCAAAATGATCCGGTTTTAAAATAATTGCTGAGCTTAAACATTCAAATGCTAATTGTTCTTGATTGGTTTGGAAATATAATGAACCCAGATTAGATAAGATATCCGGATCTTCAGGTACTAGTCTGTTTTATCAAAAGAAAAAGATATAAGTTTGCATTTTATATTGTAGAAAAAGTGCCGAAAGAGTTTCATTCTCAGAAAAAATAAATACAAAATGCTTCTTCAAAAATCGTCTGATTCAATGACTGAACCTTAATGATAGATGATGAAGTTGTTGAATTGACCGCTGCGGTTATATTGTTATTCTTATCAGTTCTGTATCGGAATAGATTCAGAAAGCTCCGTCGGTTTTTGTTAACTTCCATTACTTGTAGTGAAGTCAAGATATTAGTCTACCAACCAAAATATAATTATACTAGGCAGTTGTTTATATTGTCTTAGTTTATGACTTCTGCCATCATAGCTACTAACTTGACTCTCTGGTTAAATTTCCTTATCGTGATGACCCACAAAAGATGTGCCGGCTGAAAAAGTTGTTCCATCAGGTTCTTTCATGCCAGGTAAATTTCTTTGAGAGCAGTAAGACTAAAAACGGGGAATTAAATTCTGAGGATGAAGTAATACTACTAAATGAACAAGACTGTGATGATAATACGTTGTTTCTCTCAGATAACCAGCATCTTCAGTGATGTTACCTCCTCATAAAGTAAGGGAGAGGTTAAAAGTACTGGGCTCAAAAGATGTCACACTTAACCTTACTCCATAGATTTCCGTCTCTAGCAATAAGGCCTTGAAAGTAAAGAGCTAAAACATCAAAGACTAGTTCAAGAAAGGTCCTATGTGAATGACATCAAACAGTTGTCGCTTGGACACTGCTGTCACACTTCCAGGTCTTCATGACTATTCCACACCCAATTATCTTTGCATGTCTCTCGAGAATCAATATTATTCCATGGAATGGGAAATTGGAAGCGACAACCGCTCTTATAGCAATCGGAGGACCCTTATTCACGTTTTAGCTCTCAATATTGAAACATTATGACAAATTAGATAAGTCTTCATTAGCTGGAAAAAACATTGTAACTGTGAAACAGCCTCTGAAAGTAGAAAATACTGGCAATTTACTAGTGTTTGAACACAAACCTCTTTGAAACACTTTTGTATTTTGTGTACACTGAATGAGCAATGCTGAGGTTAGACCCGGGGTTCTGGGTATGGATGGTAAACCGGTTAACGGAGTTGTGAATCGTTATTAATTGATGTATTTGAGATATCTATAACCTTTACCTAGTATTTCTTAATGTAGCTTTTCCACGGAATGGGGTTGTGAATCCCATGCCCAAAATTCCTCCTATACCTGGGCTTAGGACCGGTAGTAACCCTATAAAGGCTCCGGACGGACTTGCATATGTCTAACCTCCACCTAAATTGACGATTGATGTTACCTGTTGTTTTAGTAGATTAAAGTTGGAGACGACCAAAACAAGACATAGTATCAGCTTATGGGGCTATTGATCGTTAGTTGGAACCACGTTAGTAGATGCGGACTACCTGGTTAGGGTTCATGCAATTATCATGACCTATCGTTGGAGACGTTTTGCGAATCGACTTAAAACAGATTGTAATCGCGTAGATGCATTCACTGATTGTTTTTTCGTAAAAGCTGAGTTTCAAAGCTATCTTATGACTTTTATTTCGCCAATTAACATTTTCTTCTCGAGCCATATTTACTAAGCTGAATTTCATTATAACCACTGATACTGTTACTACTGCTACTATTCTGGCATTTGTTATGATAATTCCAATTACCTACACTAATATAATGCGACAAATTGAAGCGATTCATATATAAATGCCAGCTTCTACGCTGCATATAGTCAGCTTACTTACTTACTTACGCCAGTTACTCTTAATGGAGCATAGGCCGCCGACCAGCATTCTCCAACCCACTCTGTCCTGGGCCTTCCTTTCCAGTTCTATCCAATCTGTGTTCATTTTTCTCATGTCTGTCTCCATTTCTCGCCGTAATGTGTTTTTTGATCTTCCTGTTTTCCTTTGATCTTGAGAATTCCATGTGAGGGCTTGTCTTGTGACGCAGTTGGGTGCTTTCCTCAATGTGTGTCCTATCCACTTCCAGCGCTTTTTCCTGATTTCTTCCTCCGCTGGGATCTGGTTTGTTCTCTCCCACAGTACGTTGTTGCTAATAGTGTCCGGCCAACGGATCCGAAGTATTTTGCGTAGACAACTGTTAATAAACACCTGTATCTTCTGGATGATGGCTTTCGTAGTTCTCCAGGTTTCTGCCCCATACAGTAGAACTGTCTTGACATTTGTATTGAAACTCCTGACCTTGGTGTTGGTTGACAGTTGCTTTGAGTTCCAGATGTTCCTCAGTTGTAAATATGCTGCTCTTGCTTTGCCGATCCGTGCCTTCACATCTGCATCAGATCCACCCTGTTCATCAATGATGCTGCCATATTGTCGACTGTTTCACGTAAAACAGAATATACGCTATACATTCCAGGAATTCACTGATGTTTCGATGAATATAGACATACGAGGTCAGACGGTCAGTCCGAAGAGAAGTGTAAATACAAATCTACATGAATGAAGTTTATTGAGTAATATTCAACTAAAAAACTTAGTAGGAGGTAAAAAGTAATGCATGCAAATGCACCAAAACAGCTAACTTCAGGACATGTAATACAGTGACAGAAATTATTGAATTATGATTATTCAGCAAATCCAAACGCCTTGATGATTTTTTGGGTTTATGACATATGATGACCTGATCACCCCTTACAATTTTTTAAACTTATAGTTTTATTTCATTTAGGACTGTTCGCCAGAGTTAGAGTTAAGCTTGAATAGCATATGTTACAAAACACTTATTGCAGTTTATGTGTGGGATATGATATTAAAAACAACATCACATTTAATAGTTTGATTATAGTTTGGCACTAAACAACTCACATTTATACTATAGACAGAATTAATAACTAAACATTTAGGGTGGTAAGAAGCAATCAACAAGAGGCCCAACTAATTCAACTCCTGTGGTTGTTAGCACTTATCAGCAAGTCTCCTATACAATCTTCATGTAATCGATGCTATCTGTATGATTTAAACCTGTTTTACAATCAGTAACGTCTTCAATGAATTATCCATATTGAGATTTTTCCTTTTGTAAGAGGCAGATGTTCACAACACTAAACATTAAATAGTAACAAGGATTTCTTAAGCTAAATTCGTGGTTCTGATCGGTTTACATCAAAACACCATGACAATGTCTAGTGATCATGGTACGGCTTGTTGATAGATGAAATTTAATCAGGACCAAGAACCACACAAACATTATATTAGTCAGTTCTGCAATAGTTATTTACAATATATCCATAAACATGGTTGAGACAAATGTTTACAATCTTATTGATCTTTGGTAATTTCCATTTTCACCTCGTTGCATAAGCAAGTAGCTATCAGGACTCAGTAGCTAAGTGGATAACGCGATGGCGTTTGAAGTGAAGGATACTGGTTTCGAGTCACAAAGTGAACATCAACTTTGTGATGCAGGAACATTCAGCTGACGAGTCCCAAGTAGGACGAAGCGCGCGTCCTGTATTACACTGCTAGCCACTACCCATCCTTGCTTATAATGCTTGGAAATCAAGGTAATATCGAGACAGTATGCACGTATGCCAATAAGAGACTGATCAACTGCAGTCCTAAACATCAATGTGAAGATTGAAGCAAGCAATACCAAGTGAATTCATTTTCACTGTTTCCCAGAAGATGATTAGACTAGATTCTCTAGCTGATTGTTGAAATTATTTAATATTATTTGACAAAAAGTTTTATGGGTATAATTTATTCTTGATATTTCCTATAGAAGTATTGTACAGAACTGTTGAGGTATAATTGCTCAAGTTGATGACTGATAAAATATTATGATGTTTCTGGTTGTGTGAAAAAATAACAATAAGGAATATATATATATATATATATATATATATATATATAAGGAGGGACAGATAGAGATTCAACGTACGAGGTTGCTTTCTTCAACGTTGCAATAGCAGAATTTATTGAGCTCTTTTCTAAATGAACTTTTGCTAACCATTTCAATGGTTTAATGCTTTTGGTGAGTTTACTAGATTTTTTAAAATACTTTTCAGCCTAAGGAAACAAAGAAATACATTGAATGGATTAGGATAATTCATTACTACACACAAACCGATTCAAATTTTTTCATGTAGAAATAACATATACCTTGTCCAAATGGTATTTCCTGACAAAAATGTAGGAAGATGGAATTAATAGATTATTACCCAATCATTTTGATTAAGTTTTAAAGCATCTTGATAAATTTCCAATGCTTCATTATGATGACCTTGTAAATACCTGTAGAGAAACAAACGTACACATGACACATGTTTTAATGATTAGGCCATATTTATGTTCAAGGTGATGCTTAGACACAGTAGAGTGAATAATCGGTTTATTAGAAGAGTACTTGAAATATTTCATGTTTGGATTTTGATAGCTTCTGCTTATTCAGTTATAAAAAAGCATCGGTCAACATATTATTTTAAAGAGCAGAAACGACATGTACCATTGACAGACGTCGAAAGGATTCTGAGAGACAGCTCTTCACTTTGGGAAAATATCGACAATTATAGAAAAACTAAAAACCAATATTTACCTATCTTATTCTTAGGAGTGATAATGTTGAGAAGACAGTCAGTGGAAGATTAAAAACTACATTAACCAGAACCTAAGCTGATGCAAAAATATTAGTCCAGATTAAAACAAGATGTTCACAAAGTCAAAAATCAAAAAGTTCCCCTTTCACATCACCACCACGTATGCTTATAAATTTACGTATATATTCCAAAGCGGTTAAGTTGATCTGGGTAAAAGGATTTATCTTGGATTTTATTAACATGTTCCAAAAATATTTTGTTTATGAGGAATTAGTACTTTGCATGGAGAAATTCCTGGACATCTCTTGAATATATGACATTACTTCCATACTTTGAGGTCTTTCAAGATGATTAACAAACAATCATGCTCTAGTCTTCCAAAATCTTCTGAAACTATTGATATTAGGCGTCAGGGCCCTGATTTGTGTCCATAATTGTTAATACTTTTCTGGTCTGGTTACACATAATACCTTCGTTACATCATAAAAGTTCGTTTAACTTTTTCTTATAATTGATCACATTGTCTTATTTTGCTATTCTTCTAAATCAGTGATTTTATCTTAACTGGCTGGAATTTACTAACTTCATTCTTATTTATCATTAGTATTCATTTATTACGTAACAACTTATTTCCAGCTCATTGAATTTTTATTACAATTGATGCTGTACAGTGTTCTTTTATAAAAGATATATTTGCAAATACAATATTTAATCTCTTAAATGTATTTACATCCTTTCTGCGCTATACTGTTGTGTGTTGAATTACGTAAGTAATTTTGACCAGATTCCTTATCATGATTTTCCAATATTATAGGTTGTTAGTAGTTGACAGGAACCAAACGAAATAATATGAATTGATTCGATCTGCTCTTTTTGAAATCGTATAGAGTTTGATCAATCTTAATCATGTCGATGAATAAATAATGTATTTGTACACATGTGTGTTGGGAATAGCCTAAGCTATTCAACACCGAATATTATGAACTGTCGTATAGTTACTTAATCAGAATGATGAATATAAAGGAAACCTAGAGAAGTCATAAATAAAAACCAGATATTACCACACTGGTTACTATTCAACAAGAATTTTCAGAAATCCATATAGAAATTGATCATTAGTTACTACACACGGTAATGGTTAATTAAGGTTGTTTCATGAGGATTTTTAGTCTTTTAAGGTTTTTTCATTACGTGGAATGTTGTGGCGTATGAAGATAATTCCATCAGTATGAGGAGGTAAATTATTGATCGTATTGCATGACAATAATTCTGTATTAGGAAGTCGATTACAACTGCTAACTCCACTTAACAGTTGCGTCTGCTTATCATGATGACTCAATAGAGCTATAGTGTCTGCAACGTACTGTCTTACACCACTGTGGTGCGATGATATTAAAGTGTTGCCCTCGAACTACCAGCATGTGAAGCTATTCTGTCTCAACACAATGAAAGGAATGGTTATAAAAGATCAGCTCAAAAAATAACATCTCACCTTGATCTTTAGAGTTCTGATGCTGATGAGTAATGTTTTTGGAGTACGAAGGTAATAGATTTAGTATTATTATCAATATGGTCATCCAAAACCAAACTTAATTACCTGTCCCTTTGGATCTGTAGTCACATTTGCTAGATAGACAAGATCTTTACTAAGTATTTGAAATATTCTTTCGTAGTTTGGGTAACTAACAAACTCAAAACAAAGCACACACTAGTGACAGGACTTGAAATCATTTTGCTTAAAATCGGCTTCTGTAGCAGCATGGCCAAGGTGTACGGTTGTACTAGACGCTACATTACTTATAGTTGTACTGTAACTTGACCACAGTTAAATATGTGAATTATCAAACCTGACTAATTTATTTTAGACTACTCAGGAGATCTGAAAGTCATGGGTTTAACGCTGTATACGACTGAGAGTGGGGTAATTACTGATAACAAATGTTAAAATAATAAAATCTTTATTTTAATTCGAACTAATTTTAACTTGTTTTTCAACTTATATCGATTTGTGGTGAGGATTACTCTTCAGTTGTACAGAAAATCACCCTCATAAATATGAAATGAAGTACGGGAATACTAAGTAGATCTAGTAAATCACTTAGTGAGGTTGAGTCCTGATCAACTACGGCGGTTGAAATGTGTATCATGATCCTCAACAGCTACTCATTTAAATGTGCAATGTTTTCTGGTGCAATTTGGTAGAACGCCGAAAGCATCGATACCAAGACGTGTTACCAACCCATATAATCACTAGATGCTGGGTTAAGCTGTGTGGATAGGCGCACACAACCTAGTTGCCATAATCAATAGTTAGATATGTTGGGTGACATAGGTCAATGGCACAGAGGTATTGATGAAATTTACAATTATTTCATGAATTCATCATTGTCGAATCTTATTTTTTACTACCACCGATACTTCTACTTTGACATGAGTCTTAGTAACTACTCACTTTTCTGCACATATTTATCAGGTTCTTCTTTGCATATGACTGAATGACTGATAAAATGTGTCTAGTTTCATAAAATTTACACTCTCTACCAACAGTTTGTGTTTTTTCCAATAAAATTTGAGTCATTTATCCGGTGTTATTAATCAGTAAAATTTGGTAAACTGAAAATCGCAATCCTGTTTTATATACAAAAAGGCAAATTTTATTCATTCGAAAATATCTATATGAAGAATAATAGCAACAACGATGACACTTACAATGACTTTGCGATTTGCTTCATTATATCAACTGACTTATTGTCATGCTCCAAACATTTAAATAAACTATCCAAGGATTGTTGTATACACCCACCAAGTCGATTTATTAGACTTAAACAATACAAATGGTAATCGTCATTTAACGTAAATTGCCCATTAGTACACTTTTTAATGATATCTGTACACTTGGAAAACGCTGATTGGGTATAAAGTGTATGTAATAACCAATTCACACTACCAATTTGTTGAATATATAGAAATTCTTCGGTATCATGAAGGTATTTTTGGAAAATGAAATAACTTACCTCTATGCATTATTCAAACAAGCACTTGTAAAGATTATTTTGCTGAACGACACCAACTGAATAATGGGAATAGTAAAAACGTCAGTTAAACCCCAAGCAGAATGATTTAAGTTGAGAGGAAAAAATGAAATAAATTGCATGAGTATTTGTTGTTTTATACTAAAAACAAAAGTTGGGGTTTTTTGTTAAGTGTTATGTCGACACATTGCTTTCAAAAATCGTGTAAGTTAACTTATTTGAAACTATTTTTGTAGTAAATATTGCCTCTATCAATAAAATATGGTATTTTCAATAGTAACGATGATATCAAATGAAGTTATCATTAAAAATGGTATGTTCAATAAAATGTATAACTAAGGCTTTTGACAAACTCTGAGGAGAGATAAAAAACTCTGAGGACCATATACAGAGATGAAAGATTGGAGAAAGGGTCTCTCTAAACGTGAACCAGGTGTTTCAGTAGGGAGCGTGATAAGTGTAAGGGTAACACAAAACTTAAAAGAATGCTAACACTCTGTGTCAATGAATGCAAAAAATTTAATTGGCCAGCAAGCCTGACTTCTTAACAATTCCAGGAACATTCCGTATGGCAGAAATGAAAACCGAAAAAGAAAGCTGACAAACATGGGTTGTCTTTTGGGAAAGGTAAAATTAATTTACCCCTAAATTTGTAAAATAAGGTTTCTACGACCATGGTTCGTGTATTTACGTGACAGATAATGTATACGATACTGCAGTGTAAGATATTGTCTTTGGTGCTTTTCTCAGTTACAGAACAATACAATCAATTATGCTTGTAATGCCTTATAATTAAAAAAGTTTAAAAGTGTAGGAAGGATTCCATTTTTAGAGATACATACTCGTTTTATGGCTATTTCATTCTTTATGAATAACCTAACAGGGATACTTAAACAATCACGTATTTTTTCTTGGGAATCATGTTGTGACGTATTGAAAACAACATAGCTATAACAATGAGTAAAAATTCAGCAAACCTTTAGGTAGTCCAAAAATAGGCACTAGAATCTAAAAAGTGGTCAAAGTGTCACTGTGGTAATTTTTTATATGCATTCTTTTATCACTAAATAACTAAGATGTGTTCAATAGGTCAAACATTTTTATTCAGATAGTTAAACCGAGTATGAAACCTGGAAATCCAATAACTGTGTTTATAGATAGCCTCATATCATCGCACATCCAGTCGATACTTATCGTTAAAATGATAAAAATATTACCTTTAGATTTATGTTGAGTCTTAATCAAGCTAGACTCTTCCAAATCCCTTCATTTACATGAGTACCAAATCAAATAAATCCTCATGAATAAGCCTGATTCGTGGCATTCAAAAATGTTTGATACCATATTTCTTACTTGTGAAGTCTGACTATTTAATTTTTCTAATTTCTTATTTCTATAATTTCACAATTATTTTAAATATTTAACATCTTGTGATTAGCACATTTATTTTAAAGATAATACTAAAATCAAGTAGTTTTAATGTTGTTATTAAGTTAATACGTGGTAAAAAAACCTATTTACTATTGTGAAGCCAAATTAATGGCGTTTTGTACATTCTATATTGTTAATGCCTTATTGGAGTATTTAATAGATAGATTGTTCCTTCTTAAAATATTGTCAAATCATAATGCGACCGCAGTCCATAAGTGAACGGCCATTGGTCTGACGCATTTTCTAAAATGGAGGCTACATGGTCGGAGCCAACGCAACAAACCCAATCAGCAGTTGGAGACGTTGTGTGACATAGAATAATCAGTCACGATAGCAGAAACGTATTCGCTTCATCGTACTTTAGATCTTCGGTGCCAGTATTTCCTCCTAGGCGAAAGGCTTTTACCACTTTCAGTTTGTGTGGACTTTCCTTCCCACTTCCTTTACCATAGAAGGTAAAGCTTTGGAGAGAGAGAAGCCAAAATAAAAAAACGCATTATCACTTTAAAAGTATCTGATTTGATTTCAAAAACAAAACGATAAAAACAGGTCAGTTTACAACTCTGTAAAATACTAACTAAATCAACGTCAAAATGACCCAAAAAACAAGTAGAGCCTAAATAATTCCCCATCAGAAGTGCTAATGAGAAAAGACCTGAATTTTTTATGCCACGTAGATCAAAACCATGCTCTAAACACAGAAAATTTCACTCAATAAAACATTGAGCAACTACCTCTAAGACGCACCGGCGCATTTACAACAATTTATATCATAGGAAATCTTCTTCATCTGGGGAAACTAACATGTAATAAATGGGAGATAAATGAGACATTCTGTTGTTTCTGCTCAAAGCAATTCCAAAACTACGTTCATCATAAACAGTAGTTGGTTTTCATCTTTTTAAAAATGATACAAAAATTTGTATCTACCAAACCAGTTTTTGAAAATAATTTGGATATAACTAACTCCATCCTTTCATCCACTTAAAGCTTATTATCCAAAGGTACATCCAAAGGAAATACAAGGATCGAAATCACATCATCTACATCTGGTGTTTTACGTAAAAGTACTTCTCGCATCAAGTAGTGAAATACGAGAATTCGCCAACGTAATATGTGATAACAACACCTTCTGATGGTGCATTTAAAGCGAGATTGAATACAAAAATTACAATGATTAATTTTAGATCGTTTGATCTTCTATCCCTAGTAGTGAAGACAAATGTTTTGCTAACCCTCGAATTTTAGAAAAGAAACCTTGACAATAGCAACGGCTTTAAGTGCCGGGTGATTGAAACAAACAAAACGTTGCTTACCACACCCAATTGATGGGATGTAAATTCGATCTCTCGTAGAATATTTTTACAGACAAACACCAATATATAATCAATATTTTTCTCTTAAGCTAGTAAAAGCTGATTAATTCCTTGTTGTTTTTCTGATACTGATTCAGGTATTCCATAATGTTCAGTCGGTGGTAGTCTAGCAACACGACTCAACTAATTCTACTCAACTTGGCATTTGTTTTTTAATTTTTGTATCTTGTGACTTCGGTAAATGTGTTTGTCGCGGCGAATAAGGGTTTCTGGATGACTTCATATATATCATTACTAGGCAGAGGTCAGTTGATTGCAGTGAGAAAAATAATGAAGATAAAATTTGAATGCAGGAAAATTATGAGATGTGCATCGTTCATATGTGGACCAAATCGGATATCTCAGTCCATGTGCGAAACCGTGTTGGTCGATTTTCCTGTAGTGGCTATGCTTCGATAACTAATCAACCGCGAACCGTTATCGTACAATCTTCAACGGTGCTTGAAATCAGAAGGTAAAGATAAGCGGCTACCACAGTTTATTTAACAGATAGTTCGGACCACACAGCAGAGAGGCAAAACGAATGAGCAGGTGAACTACGATTGTAGCAGTAACAGTAGTAGTGTAAATGTATATTATTATTATTAATAGCTTTATATTGAATAAAGCCATTAATAATATATATATATATTTATAGGGAAATGGATGAGTCATCGAATAGATTAGGCAGCTAATAATGAAGCTAGCAGAGTGAATATATGCGTAGGCGCTAAACAATACTCAAGCATACGTATTTCATATAAGCGCAATAATAATAAAAATACAACAAGTTATTACAGCATGGATGACTTTGTCCATTAAATAGGTTAACAAAAGACCTTGACTGATCGAAATGAGAATAAACTCAATTTCACGTGAGTCGCTATACTCCTCTTGGTGCTATCCGCTGATGGGGTTGTAGTCACTTCGGTTGGATGGGAACAACTCATAATGAACAAAGTGAGAGAATAGTTGATTGTTTTCCATCTGATGTTCGAGAAGAGTGGTTATGATGTCCTGTTAGTGTGCTTATTTTGAGGTGGCTTGGTGTACTTTATATGTTGTATCCCATTACCGGATCACCCCTTATTCTCTTGCAACTCAATGAAAATGATCCCAGGTGTTGAAATCTGTCATCATAAGAGAATGTCAGTAAGAAACTAATCAACTGCAGTTATAGACATCAAAAGGAATATTCAAATAAACATTACAAAATGAACTTAAACTTGACCTGTCGGCTTCACCAGTGTCGTAGTTCAAATACTTGTAGAAATAACCAAAAATGGCAGTAAATACCAAAAACTTGCAATACAACCAGCAAAATGGTTTCAGATAAAGGTTATCTTGCGCAAAACCCCCTTTTAGCAAGATAACGATGGACGGAAGCTCCAGGTCATTAAAAATCGGCAGATGTTGTCTATGTAGACTTCATTAAAGGATTTGATAAGGTACCAAAAGAGACTATTTTTGAGGCTGTAATATCTAAGAATTGACAGACCTCTTCTGAAGTTGACTAGGGATTCCTTGTTAAGACGTAGGCAGAAATTAGGGACAAAGTCCGATTGCTCCCCCTGGTGCACTTCAAACGCTTGTAGCGTGGTGTCGAGTTGTGATTAACTATGAACACCGCTACCAAGAAACACGTGCCAAATAGATCAGAAGGCGTAAGAAGCTCGTTCCAAATGACTCCATAAAATCCCGAGAAGCCGAATACCAGAAGGCAATTAATGGACCAAGTCGAGTTATATTTGCTGGCGATCTCGTGGCATCGAAAGGATACCGAGATCGTGCCAGGATACAACCTTGGTTACAGAAGGTAACCGAATTCGCGCGAAGTTACAATCGAAGTGTAAGTATAAGAATGGAAGCACAAAATAGCTGTCATTAGCACAGTCAAACAAAAGCACGTTAAAACAAACACTGGTACAGTTGGTTATAATAATAATTGTTTTTATTAAACCAGTCGTGTTCTCGTGATAAACGTGAGTCACTACAGGAGCCCCCCGCTAGAAAGGGTTTACACTTTCGATAAATAGCGGTTTGAATCGTGGGACTGATCGGCTGACGAGCGATTGTAGGACGGAAGAATTGGCGAACAGGAAAGCGATCGTTGATCGTCGAGTTGCCAACGAAGGTCGTTTTCGGAGAACGGTACCAGGAGCGATGTGTTGTACTTATTGCTTGAGTTGGCATGCTACACCAGAGT